CCCCAGGCTCGCTCTTGGAGCTTCTGTTCGGGTGGTCTCTGCAGAACATACACGCCCAAAGAACCCGGCTACGGTTGCCGCTAGCTCTCCACCCGCCCTGCAGGCCGAGCTGAGGAAACGCCGCCTGAATCTAGGCGACTCGTTCTCAGTTTTGCGCGGGCTGCCCAGAGGTGCCCGCGGCCTCTGCGAACGGCCTTTGATGGCGCGCGGGGGTTGCGGCGAGGGTGAGAGCGGCACGAGTGGGAGAGCGGTGGGTTGGCCGATTGCGGGAGCTGCTTCCAGCCCTCCGAAAGCGAGCAGAGGCGACCAGCAGCGAGCGGTGGGGGCTGGGTAGCTGTCACGGTCTATGTGCGAGGAATGACTAAACGTTGATTGAGGAGCTGTGGAGGCTTTCGGCGTCTCCTCTACAAGCACAGTTCACATCTTTCTTGCGCGCGCCGATGCCCCTCCGCCTCCCGCGGCGTGTAACGCGCCCCCGCCCGCTTCTTACTCTCTCCTGCAGCAAATTAAGTGTTTCGAGACGTAATTGAAGAATCCGAGTGTTTCTGCTTAATTCCCCCTTTCCCGTGCCCATCCCAGACAAGGCGAGCACTTCAGCCCCGTACCCGTTCAATGAAGCAGCACAGATTCCCGGCCGTTCCAAGCGGGATTTTGCAGGACGAGAAGGAGGAGGAGGAGGAGGTGGAGGAGGAGGAAGTGGCGGTGGAGGGAAGGAGCTGGCAGCATCAGCAACAGCAGCAGGCATATTTGCAAGGAAGCATTTCGGGTCTCGCTCTGCTACTGGGGATTTAAATGTCACTCAAAGCATCCCCAGATCAGCTTACGGCTCCTCTCCGTTTTCTTCCGAAGCGCTGATTTGAGCCCCGAACATTGCATTTCTGCGGCTTACTATCCGAAAAGGTAAGGAGACTGTAAGCGCAAAATGCGCGGCGGCGGCATGGTCACCGGGAGGATAACTTCCCCTCCTTGCCCTGCCCCACACCACCCCATCTTCTCTTTCCATCCCCTTTTTCCAGGTACGGTGGTGCATTTAGGCACGATCGCCCTCCCCTCTTACCCATCCTTTCTGGCTGCTTGATCTCGAGAGGAAGAACAATTAAAACGAGTGCGAGAGGGGAGAATGGCCTTTTAAATCAGTCCCTTTGCTTCATGTAAAAGCTGGGCAAGATCTGACTTTTATACTTTTTACTCTGATGTAAAGAATCCTCAGGATCGTAGAATACCTAACGTCATTCACGATCTCCAGTCTTTCATTTCTGTGCCCCCCAAACCGCCTTTCTTTTTTTCCCCCGGAAGAGCAGACAGCCATCTCGCCCCTTCCAAGAAACTCGTCATCATCTGGCATTGCCCCCTCCCCCAAATGCTATAGGCTGAGTTCTTTCTAGCCACAGACTGCAAACTCGGACCCCCTCCCTCCGTGGTTTCACACACCATTTGCTATTCTCAAGGAACATAAAGTCTAGCTCCCCACACACACACACACACACACACGTGTACGCCTTGCATTCCCATTTAACCTCTTTCCCCTTAATTCCTAATCTGATGTTACAAGTTTCTCCCTTTTAAAGTAGGTTGCCAAACTACGTAGCCTGCAACTCTTGAAACTTCTCAGGTTGCTATAGTGCAGTCCATACATTGTAGTACTCAGAAGGAGAATAAGATACTGCTTAAGCCTCTTGTGCCTTACTCTTTTTAAATGATGCATTTCTTTCTTCCCATTTAATTTTTTTTAAATTTCCTTTTGTTTCTCCTTCCTTCCTTCCTTCCTTCCTTCCTTCCTTCCTTCCTTCCTTCCTTCCTTCCTTCCTTCCTTCTCTTTTGGCAAGGAAATTTGCTCCATCTCCAGCATCAACCACTGCTCCTTTTGATGTTGTGGTACGCCGTGCGCATGCGTTCCACATTAGAATTACTGCACTGGCTAGAATAAGTTGGATCTCTTCTTCTCTTCTACTGAAACCCTAAAATCATATCAAAAGCTAAAGGGATGCTGAGAGTTCGGAAAAAAGGTTGCTTTGGGATTTGGTCGTTGCCCTTTATAATAACAGTGGTTTGTGCACAGAGGTAAGTGATTAAAGGTTCTCATCTCTGTACCCCCCCCCCCCATCCTTCACTCTGAAATGTATTGTATGCTTCAGTTAAACTGGAGGTGCAAAATGCATTTTGAGGGCTAGAGAGAGAAAAGAGAAAATGTCTCTGAACTGATGTGTTTTTCTCTGTCTCTCCTTAGTGCTAATGATCCTAGCAATATGTCACTAGTCAAAGAGACTGTGGACAGACTGCTGAAAGGCTACGACATTCGACTGAGGCCAGATTTTGGAGGTAATTCAGTTGCTTTTGTGCAAGAACCTTACTGCACACCCAGGCTGCCTTACTCTGGGTTGTGAGTGCCTCTTTCCAACACGGTGAGGGAGCTGCCTCTCTCTAATGCACGAGTTATCATTTCTGTTCTCATTTCTGTCCTCGGTCTCCAATTTTCTGTAAAGTACAATGGCTATTTGTGTGTGTGTGTGTGTGTGTGTAATTGGCCTCATTGTATGAATATGTGTTGGCTGGCTGTGTACCTTGCTCTCTGTCATTTAAACTTCAATTAGGTTTATTGAGATGCAAATCTCCTAAGTTTATCCAGGGCTCCTTTCACCAGGCTATCTGTGCCTGTGGTCACAATGAGTATTTTAAAGTACAGAAACCCTGCAAAGGGAGATGTAAATGTCATTCAGCCACCCATGAGCTTTGCTTTTAGAAAAACCTTTCCATGTGCGTGTGTTCGTGATGCTTCAAACCTGATGGATCATTAGATTCCTTTGGAATGCGCCTGGCAGCCTTTTCCTCTGGACAGACGGCTCTTTTTTTCAGTTATGAGAATAGTTTGGAATTCGGGATGGGTTGACTTTGCGCTTTGTAAGACTCAGCTCGCCAGGATGAGTGCCCACGGCAAGTAGGAATCAAAGCCCTACTTGCTTTAAAGTCCCCCTGGCTTCCTCTAGTTGGTTCGGGTCTCACTCTGGCTGGCCAGCTAAAACGACCCTCCGCCCTGTTATTAATGCAGCACACCCTCGCGGAGGAAGGCGTAAGCATGTATGTCAGTTACATAAAGCCCTCCTGCTGCTGACAGAGACCCTGGAAGGGGGTAGCCGAGATGAGACCCCCTCATGAGAAGTCCTTGTGCCCCACCCCTTCTTGAGTCTGAGCAAGCCTTGCCTGAAATGAGTTAAATTGTTAAAGATCACAGTGCAGATCTTCTTATGTTTCAGGTCCTCCTGTGGCTGTTGGCATGAACATAGATATTGCCAGCATAGACATGGTGTCAGAAGTCAATATGGTGAGTACTTCAGCTCACTCCCACCCACCTCCACCTCCTACATTTTATTAAGGTCTGGAATATATTGCATCCTGTTATGGGGAAGGGGAACCAATGCAAGTTCGTTTTTTTGTTCACCGTTTTTCTTCATGGGCAGCAGTGTTTTAGGCCATCCCCTTTTCACCCCCTCCCCAATACCTGGTGCTTGTTTCTCTCTCTCCTTCTCTTTCTCTCTCTCAGTGAGGAAAATTATGTGGAACAATGCCTCAATGCATTGATTTAGGACTACCTGTGATTCCTGAATAAGAAACTGAGACCAATGGATTTTAAGGAACAACAACCTTTTTGGCTGCATTTTGCATTTGAAATAAGATTGAAATTATATACAGATATATATATAGATATATATAAGCTTGAGGGGCTTCATAACAGCATCTGAAATAAATTCTTATTTTTCAAATGAATATTTGCTATTTTAATACATCAGTGTTTTTTAAACTTTATGACTTGCAGAGTGTGCAAGCCAGCAAGAAGGTCAGATTTATTGACAGTTGTACTATTTAGCAGATACCATTTCAGGCATACAGTTAAGAGAGTCTTAGGGGAACAATTCTCGCCTTCTTTTGCTCGTGCTGGATCGCCCCCTGCTGACATACCATTGCACTGCAACTTGGATTTCAGTTACATTTTTGTTCATTCTTTGGGATCATTTACATGATTATTTTCATTATGTTGATGAGTGGAAAATGAGATTAGTGTTGACTGTTTTGATATTTTATATGTGCGTTGCTAGTTTTGAAGTGTACAGGAATACCACTAGATGTAAAGGCAGAAGAGTGGGTTTATATGCATTTTGGAATAAAATTCAGTTCGCTCACACAGTCATACTTTGACTTTTTTTTTAAAGTTCCAGTTTTCATGGTGGGAGAAGCAATTTGTAAAGACAGGGAAAAAATGAGAAGAGTAATTTTTGTGGCATGTCATAGCAGAGACAGAGTGTTTCGTTTTACAAAAGCCATTTCAACATAATTTTGGTTACCTGAAGGATGTTAGCTGCCTGAAACACAAAATTATTGAGAAGCTAATATTCTTGCTGATATAGTGAAGACAACATAAATCTTTTTAAAAAGCTAAAAAGTAGTCAGGTTTTTCTAAAATAAGGTCTGAAATTGAGTAGTGCCTAAGACATTGTGAAATATGCAAGCCTATGTACAGGCAGGAAGGAAGACTCTAATCTAAAGCAAACTAGAGTAACATGAACTTTTGTGGAAGCTAAATACTAAGAGTTAATACAAAGTGCTCGATTTGAATTTTTTTCAGTGCATTTATATTTGTAATATTTGTTCAGAATATTGACTTGACACAAATGAACACTTTCAGTAACTGCTGCGCTGTACTCTCAAGAGTAGCGGAATCATTTTTTACAAAAAGAAATTACAGCCAGGTATTAATAAATCTTCATAATACAGGTGGTATAAAAGATAAACTATCAAATGCATATCTAAATATTTGCGTTAATGTTCAATTTTATTTGTACAAGGTCTTAGATGTTCCAAATTATTTCAGCTCTACTAGATTCATTTCTTTCCTAAAGTCATTCTGAGTTCAAATATGTCTGTGTGCAAAAAAAAAAAAAAAATGATTCCTTACACTGATTTCAGATTTGGGGAAATCTATGGAGCATTAAATCCTCTCTTCACAAGCAACTCCTTTGTCATGCTGAAGTTTTTCCCATTGGCTTAATCCATTGTTAAATATCATGTTTACATCCACATGGATCAGAGTTAATTTGAGGTTCCTGTTAATTCAGTTTCAAAGCTACTTTCAGCTCCTAGGTAAGCTTAAAATATGCTTAATATAAAGCACTAATGCTAATGCAATTCTAAACTCTGATATAAATTTGATCTAAAGAACTCGTATATATGTGAGGAAGGACTGAGGAGAAAAGCATGTTTTTACATTAATTACCCTTAATCTCTCACCATGATTAAGGGCAGAATTCAATGGGTACCTATTGCAGAATAGGCCACAGTTAATTCATGTGAATCTGAGTGGTCATACAGAGGCCTGTTTTGCATAAAAGTGGTTGCTGTTCTTGCATCAAACTTTTTTTCCCCCCAGAAGCAAGAATGATGGTTGGTAATTTGCTTGATTTTGAATTTCACTTGTATTTCATTGGCAATAATGATTTTTACTAGTCCACAGTAGAATGTTCATAAACCTCATAAGGAAATATAGATTGCCTGCTTGTTAGCTGATACCAGTGATCCTTAGCCTATATTACAAAATAGAAGTTTTGAAGTTTTTGAAGTTACTAGGCATATTTACTCAGAAGTCAGCATCACTGTGTTCAGCATATTTACTCACCAGTAAGTGAGTACATTCTTATCTTTACCCAGTTTTGAATAAAAAGCTTAGGAGTGAATATAAATCTAAGATTGTTTCTGATAACACCAATATCAAGTGACCGACATATTTACTTGACCCCACTTAGGAAAAAAGCATTGTTTTAAAGTTCATAATCATGGTTAACCTCTTCCCCCCATCCCAAACCTGTCACATAGTACAGTAGCCTTCAACCTTAGGGGCCCTATGGGCACGTTTCAGTTTCAGCTTTTTAAAAAAATGGCTGCCATAGATATGAGCAACCACGTATTTTCTACTGCACCTTTTTTTCTTAAAAATAAAATTTCTTTCTTCAGACTAGAAGATAGGGCTCATTTGATCCCACAGTATTCTGCTCCAGCTAAAGAACCATTATAGCTAAACACAAGTTATTTTCATCAGATCTCCAAGTTCTAAAATCAGTTTCTCCAACCTTATTTTCCTCTCATAGGAAGATTAGTTCCAAATAATTTCCCCTTAAATGTACAAAAAAAGCACCGTATGCCTACAGTGTTATTATAAAATCTTAAATACTTTATAATCCAAACCCACTGATCCAAACTCACACATTCTTAATGCGTGATTCCTTCTGGATCACTCCTAACTCCTTTTTATCTTCTATTGACACACACCTATCTTTTCAGACACATTTCCATCAAGATTATGATCATTTGCTTTTGTCTCATGCCTTCTCTCTCTTTCATCTCCATCCAGGCTGCCCACTGTTCCACCAGAACTATCCAGTCATTTCCATTTACACGAGACAGTTTTTCCTTTCTACTCTTCCTTTCTTTCAAGGTTGAAAAACAGCAGATCTCTGGCCTTCATCTCTCCACTCTTTTTCCCATTTCTGAAGAAAGCTCAAAAACATAGAACCTAGATGAAAGGTGGGAAGAGAAAAAAGCAGAGTAGTCAGGGTTCTGCTTCTTGGCACCCATACAAAGTAAAAATGTCTAGACCAGTGTTTCTCAACCTTGGGAACTGGAAGATGTGTGGACTTCAACTCCCAGAATTCCCCAACCAGCATGAAGTCCACACATCTTCCAGTTGCCAAGGTTGAGAAACACTGGTCTAGATGATGATGATCGTGGTGGTGATGTAAAAGATAGAGGACCTTGGCAGACATTAAGGTAGTGTCCTGGAGGCACTTTTGTATCCATAGACAATTGCCAATGTTGTTTTAATGTTGGTCTTAATTTTCTGTTTACACAGTCTTAATCTGAAAAGTTAGGAAGATGCTTCTTATATATATTTGAGCATGTGCGTTCATATACCCACACAAATATACTTTCTTTTTCAAGTTATATTCTTAAGAGCATTCAGTGATTAACACTTCTATATACAAAAGAGAAGTTGTTGAAGATACATTTGAAATAGCATACAAATAATTTAGTACAACTGACACATGGGAACAAATGGCCACTTCTCCTAAATACAGTTGTTAAAAAGCAATTGTAATATGTTAGCAGTTATGATATTTTGACATTGGTAATGTTAAATATGAACAAGAATAATGTAAATTACCAGAGGGTGTAAGATTTTTATTTTTTAACAATAAATGTGCATTTTTGATCCTGTTGGTGCTAACAATCCAAATGTTTCTCTTTAAGGGTGTCTTTTCCCTGGGATAAGCATTTTCTCTGCACAAAAATGTATGTTCTTAAAAAAAAATCTGGGACAATAATAAAATCTGTTCTTCCCTTTTCCCTGTAGGGCACCTATTTTAATATATGTATTTTAGACTGAGGTTATACATTTTGCAAATGACAAGACATACAGGAGGAATTTTTTACAGTTCTCTTTTTGAACAAAATAGTATAACCCATGAAAACCAGAATGAAGCTCATAATTTACAATGCCTGGTAGCATCTTCCTCGAAATATTTCTTATCTCAGAAATTTCTTACAAAGTTCATATACTCAGAGAAGATACACTAGAAAAGAAGTTTGTTTGTTTTTTTGACTAATTTAGGAAAAGGGGGTGGGAGCGGGGGAGGGGAGAATGATGTAGAACTGTGGCCAAATGGACCAAGGACTGAATACAAGTGAAGCTGAAGTGGTCTAGATATATAAACAGAGCTGTTTTCCCTATTTGGAGCCATTCCTTACACTTTGCTATGCTGTGATATTTTCATTGATAGCTATGCTATTTTAAAATAATTCTACTGTATCACTGAAATGCTGGGATTTAGAAGAAAAGAAGAAAAAACAGGTTACAAATAAATGCCTTTTGCCATTCAAGAATTCCTCATTATCTTTTCTCTCTCTTCAGTCTTCTGTTTCTAAATGCAGACTTTTTAGAGGTTAAATGTTCCTCTTCTCCATTATGTATACAAATCCCTCTTCTAAGTTTAAGAAAAGCATTGGGTTAAGTTGTATTATATGCAAAACTATTCCTTCTCTATTCATTATGTGGAGATGGCATTTCACTGCACAAAAATATTGTTTGTATTGTCTAGAATAGCTCTCATATACTTAAAATGAGGAATTGGAGAAGAATCTTGGCCCAACAGATTGTTGCAACTATTTTCAGCTTCTACTTCAAATGACAATAATATGCCAAAATAGCCTTGCTTGGTTTTATGTGAGACTAGATTTTTTTTCTCTAATTATTGTACATTTTCTTTGAAGTTTACG